TAGAGAGAGAGAGAGAGAGAGCGTGTGTGTGTGTGTGTGTGTGTGTGTGTGTGTGTGTGTGTGTGTGTGGTGCACAACTCTGCCGTGGCCAGCAAGCGAGTCGCACGGCGTGAGTGGTGGAGATCACACCTGGTTGGCCTTGCTTCGCTTCATCTGCGCCTCGGCCAAATCCTTCTCCAAGATACGCAACTGCAATTCAAAGCATGTCGGGTGAGCGCGCGAGATAGTTGAACAACGTACAGCGCATTTCAACGCAAACACACACACACACACACACACACACACACACAGAGAATCCTGCAGGGGAGAGACGCAATGGCCGCACCTCCCGCCGCAGTTTGTCGAGCTCAACCGAGTGCTGTCAGAGGAAAGGCAGGGGTGTGAGCAGTCTCGCAGCCGCGGATTGATGTGCAAGCAGGCAGGCGAAAGAAGAAGTGTCGGTGCTGGCACGGCAGGTGCACACACACACACACACATACACACAGGTGCTCTCACGTCTGACGCTGCAGGGATGTGTTGGCGGGAGCGGAAGACGTGCTGCGGCTGCTGTTGTGCTGTGTTGGGCTGGTCTATCATAGTGGTCACAGGGTGCATGTGTTCAATGAATGGTTGAAATAGAGACAGAAGAGACATGCATACAAAGCCACACACACACACACACACACACACACACACACACACACACACACACACACACACACACACACACAACGTACTGTGCCGTTGGAGGGTGTGCCGGTTCTTGTGCAAGGACGCCTGACGGCGATGGAACATCACGGGAGGATCCATGCTTTGCTGGTGCTGCTGACTCTGGTGCTGGTGTTTGTGCTGGGGCACGACAGCTGGCATGCCGCTGACGCGTGCAGTGGCCTCAGCGACGGGTGTGTGTGTGTGTGTGCGTGTGTGTGTGTTGCGTGGTAGCGTCAACGGTAGCGTCAACGGTGGTTGGCGGAAAATGCGTTCACGAAGAGCAGACGAGAGGCGTAAACGCAGCCGCAGCTCTTGTTCAGTGACACGCTGGAAGTAGCCTGTGCAACAGTCCATCGAAAAGGGAGGTGGCATGTTGTGCACACATGGGAAGGGGGCAGTGAGTAATTTGAATCCCATGGAACACGCGCGAACGCCTGTCAGCGGCATATTGAAACACGTACAAATCGCTGCGCACCCAACTACAACAACAACAACAGCACCACCACCAACGACACCAACCAGCATAGCACAAGCAACAACGCACAACGCACAACGCACGGGTACACAACGTGCTATTGCCATGCGTAAGGACGTACGTCATTAAGGGAAGGGGTTCACGCCCCCCGGTGGTTTGACACAGATATGGATGGATGCGAAATTGCCCACAAGGGAAACAGTTCACACACATGCACAGATGAGCAAACAGGGCATGGGAACCAAGAGCGTGAGGTGATGAATGAAGATCGTGGTGTGTGTGTGTGTGTGTGTGTGTGTGTGTGAGCGATGGAACAAACGCTAACCGCAGCACAGTCACAGGGAGAATGACATGGCATGTGACACGCTGGCAGTGTGACAGTGGGCAGCTGCGGCTGAGTCGTGTGGCGGCGGCTTTCACCTCGCGTCGCATCACTCACCGCGTGCTTGGTGGGAGGGCGATGAGTCGCTTGTTGGCGCACGACTCGCTTGCCAGCTAGGATATGTTCGAGGTTTTGGATTGCAGCTGCAACTGTTGCGCGCGTTGGGGTCTGCAAGGGGGCGAGGCAAAGGGTGCAGGGGTGCAGGTAGGCGGGAGGAGAATGCGCCAGAACACAACGGCAGCCCAGCAATGGAGACAGCCGCCGCACGCACGCGTGCAAGTCGACACGACACAACCACAACAAGCAAGCACAAAGGCAGCGTGAGCCACAGCGATTAGCATAGGTTGCACCGAGAGAGTGTGTGTGTGAGAGTGACAGGAGAGAGGAGAGGGCCAGATGGGTGTGTGGTGTTGCGGTGTTGTGACATGCGACTGTTGCGTTGCATCGTTTTCAGAACAGCGAATCACCAGGCCCATGTGACGTGGTTGTTGTTGTGGTTGTTGTGCTAGCGTGCTGATGGGTCGTTGTGTTGTGTGTATTGGTCGTGCAAGCGTTTGGTTTTGACGTGCGTGGTTGGGTGTTCACCGTTGTTGTGTTTGTTGGTTGGTTGGTGGCGCTTGTTTCGTTGTTGGTGCTTGCACTGTTTGCTGTTGTGTCTGCGTGTCTCGTGCACAGAAACACACACACACACACACACACACACACACACACAACAGCACATGCGTCATGCGAAGCATACGCACCCTCTTCCTTGCTTGCTTGTCGAGTGCGTTGTTGGATGATGCGAAGCAACTGACGACAGCAGAGAGGGTTGTGCACACACCTGATGACGACGCCAATGTGGTGCTGGCTTGTGGTTGTTGGTTGTTGTTGGTTGTTGGTTGTTGGTGGTGCGCGCGTGTGCTTGCGTCGATCGTTGTGGTCGCCGTTTGCTTTGTGCTGCTTCTTGCTTCTTGTTGCTTTGCTTCTTGTTGTTCGAGCCTGCTGCCTGCTGCGTTTGCTTGTGCTTGTTGAGGGCTTCAGGTTGCCCTCGATTGTTTCCCTATTTTGGACGCATTGCTCGTGCTGTCGGGGCGTTGCGAGTCCACTTCCTGGCAGTGCCGGGACAAAACGGTTATGTCGTCATGCGTCGTGCGTGATCCCGTGTGACAACAACCCATCGCGCAACCGTGCGTTGCTCGACAACCACCACGGCGGCACCGGGACACTTTGCCGCTTTGAAAATTCGACGCTGCCGCGCGCACTTTGAAACCCATGGCAGAAAATAAAAAGTTATGAAGGTGATTCGATGATGATTTAATTGCAGTGAGTTGGTAGCGCCGCGAAACGTTTGAACGCAGAGAGAGAGAGAGAGAGAGAGAGAGAGAGAGAGAGAGAGAGACCTATTTCTTCTACGAACGTGGGGAGCCTCCAGACCTAGGTAGACAACGTAACGGGATTTAAAGCCAACGTAGCATCCATAATCTCTTCGTCTTAAAAACGTCCAGAGTCCTCCAAGAATGTCCGCCGCGTTCAAGGCACGCATGCACCAATTCCCGGTTAGTGGTACAAGGCTGAAGCCGCACTCGCACCATAGCTGGAGCGAAAAAGCCAGCCCTTTTAATTAGCTATTTAGTAGTACACCGTTAGGTCTTAGTGTGTTGGTACAGAATAGCGCAGTGCACAAATTTGGGAAGACGGCGGCATTCTGACTATACTTAGCGCCGTCTCAATGCACACAGGCGGAGTTCTGTCTATGGGTGGGATGCAACGGGAATGAGATATCTTACCTATCTTCCACCCTTAAATGACGTGCACCCTGATGCGCGAGTCTTCTTCGCCAAAGCCTGGGCGGTTAAGAGCGGATCTAACCACCGGGCCAAGGGCGGCATACCGGATCATGCTTGCGCTTCTCACGGTTGGTTTCCTCTTACAACTCTAAGCTTCACTAACGACGCGCGCCTTCTAAATACCGAATCCTCCATCCCTATCCAAACTAGATGCAACAAGCTTTTTACATCGAGTGTGTGTGTGTGTGTGTGCGTGCGTGCGTGTGTCTCACTCACACACACACATACACACACACTCTCTCTCCCCGTCTCGCTCTCTCTGCGCGTAAGGACGAGTTGAAACCCACTGTTGAAACGAAAGAGGTTTTCTTAGATGGTGTCGACTCTTGGAACAAAAAGGACAGCAGTTACATTACACACATAAACACACATAAACACACACACACATAAACACACATAAACACACGTCCACTACCTTTTGGACTTTGGTGCTTTTGGGGACGGTTTGGCCTTGGGGAAGCGAGCCATGAGGGTCGGGAGGATGGTGGCCGTGGCGGAGGGTGACAGATGCTTGTCGTCAATCAAGTGGCGGTACAGGTTGGACAGCGTTGCATTCATGACGGCGCCGGCGGTTTCGCCCCTGCCGCTCACCGCGCCGCGCTCGGCCATGCCTGCAAGCACGTGCGCCAGCTCCTTCTCCTCCAATCCAGCCGGCGCCCGATCAAGAAAGTCAAGCACCTGCATGTGCAGCGTCACGTGCTTGGCGGCCAGCGGCTCCAAAATCCCGGCAATCGTCTCCTCCTTTCGTCGCACAAACTCCCGCCTGTGTGTTGTGCGTGTGTGTGTATGTGTTGTGTGTGTGTATGTGCATGTATGTGTTGTGTGTGTGCATGTGTGTGTGTGCGTGTGTACGTGTGTGCGCGTGTGCGTGTGTGCGCGTGTGCGTGTGCGCGTGTGTGAGTCGCCCGGAAGAAAACGGTAAAGCCAAACAAATGGGAAACGGAAAGTACGCCACAATCGTCACCACCACCATCACCGCCATCACCAACCAGTGCTGTGTGAGGATGGCGTGGAGAGCGTCCTTGACGCCTGGGAGGAGCGAGTAGGTCGGGTCGGTCGACTTGCACAGGACCGGCACAATCTGCAGCAGGCGCGTCATGTCGCCAGCAGCAGCGCGCCTGGCCATGTACATGGCAAGCAGCACCTCAATGTAGTAGATGTCAACGCCGTAGTCCTGCAGCTCCTGCGGTACAAACCGCTCGTCCGCCTCGTCCACGTCCCATCGCCACGACCCGTCATCATCATCATCGTCATTGTCGCCACCACCACCACCACCACCACCACCATGATGCTGCTGCGTCGCCGTCACTGCTGCTGTCGAGGTGCTTGTCGATGCTGATGGGGTCGTTGGTGTTGGTTTTGCTGCAGTGTCGCTGTCCCCACCTTTGCTCTGCAGTTTCTGTTTCGCCCTCTTTTCCTTTGCCCGCCGTCTGTGGTGCCGTTTGTGCAGATGCATCGTGCGTGTGTGCGTGCGTACGCGCGTGTGTACGAGTGATTTAGTGTGGGTGTGTGTTTGTGTGGGAGTGTGTTTGTTTGTTTGTATGTATGGGATACCTATGACAGACCAATAGGCCTGAGTGTTTGGAAATCCACGCACATGCACACACAGACATCGGGCCTCAGG